TCTCCTGGCATTTGACTTCATGATGTGCAGCTGAGTTCTCTTCCTGAAGTGGGGAGCGCATTCCAAGCACTTGTTCAAACTCATGTAGGAGTAAATCTTGGACTGCCCGATAAACAGGTTCTCCTTGTTCGTGCGGGGCCATTGCTGCCACTGCTGCTGGCACTGCTGCTTCTACCTGGCAGGGCTTGGCCAACCTTCCTGCCTGGAGAGGGGACCCGGGGGAAGTGGGGGAGGGGGTGCTCAGGGCGCGGTGGCACAGGGAACGGCCACTGTTCCACCACAGCCATGTTCCGAGGCTCCACATTTTTCTTAATACATGTAAATATAGAAATTTGCATTGTAAAATATTTTGTCAAATGCTCACTTTTGCCAAGAGTACATTCTCAAATGATGAACATATTATGCCTGCCTTTAGTCATTCGTTAACATTCTTGACAAAGCATTATATACCGTACATTCTGTTATGTGCTGGACACCGTGATAAATAAACAACATTATAATTCCATTAAAAAATGACCTTGTAATGCATTGTTGAAATCATAAGTACATCCCGTCCAAAAGGTAGGAGAAATGCAATTTATCTGACTGGCCTTGATCAACAATATCAGCAGTTTAAAACTAGCCACTCCTCTGGAGAAAGATGGGGCTTTCTACTCTGGCAAAGAGTAACAATTTTAAAAATGCACAGGGGCAGTGCTACCCTGTCCTATAGGGTCTCTGAGTTGGAATAAACTCAATGGCAGTAAGTTTGGAATATAAAGAAAATCAAGCAATATTAAGGAAATATAAGCTCTTGTAAGTGTGAGGGATAGCTGAAATGAAGATATCAAAATACATCTCAATGTATCTCTTATAACAACACAGCAAATGGTGTTCTATGAAATATTCTGTTAGATGGTATTACTTTAGAAAATAGATATTGTCCTCAATAATTAGTTCACACAAGATGAAATCACTTTCAGTATCATACCTTTTATTTCAATTTTTAGAAATCTAAGTATTAGTAATCTATCTGACAATACTAAATGTCTTTTTTTAACATTAAAAACCTTTTCTTTGCCTAAGCCATGTAGTCAGGTTTCATTCAAAACACTGAGAATGATTAGCTATAACAAAAAAGTGTAATTATATATAAATGACAGCTCACTTTTTGAGATGATTTTCAATATTGTCACCTTTCATCTGAATATGAATGGATAGATTATAAATTCTGCTTAAATATATTTGCGTAGGTCATACAAGAATATTTTAAAATTAGGGGGGAAATTGCTGCATTTCACTGATATGGTAGAACCAAAGATAAATATAAATTTTAAAAAACATGTGACAATGGCCCTACCATTTGTAAATTACAGTCAGCAAGATCTAATTATTCTGGGTTATGGCAATGACTACATATTAGCAATGGCATTGGTGTCACAGTGAGTTAAGTTAGGAGGATAATAACCACAAGAGTAGCCTCCTGCTCCATTGAGGTTTTCTTCTCCCATAAAGATTTACAGCCTAGGAAATCCATAGGGGACAGTTATACTCTGCCCAGTAGGGTAGCTGTGAGTCAGAATTTTGAATTTTGGATTGTGTGAACCGAAATTTTAGTCTAAAAAATGAATTTATGTCTAATATAAATGAATTCTTTTTTTACTGAATATTTAAAGAACACTTATTAAGAACCCTAAATGTACAGAAAGAGAGAGGGGGTAGTAGAAAGGGGAAACTGATGGTAATGATGACAATATAACCCCATTTGAGGGAACGCATAACAGAGTGGGAGGCAAACAGATACATTAGATGGTGTACAATATGGGTGGGATAACAATAATAATAGAATTTAATATAGTAACAATGGTACTTGTGGGTATGAGGGAAGAGGGGAGGGATAAAGGGGAGCTGAAACCAAAAAGTGCAAGAAGAAAGAAAATGTTTTGAAAATGATGGTGGCAACAATTGTATAATCATGCTTCATCTAAATGAACTATGGATTGTTATAATATCTGTAAGAGTTCCCAATAAAATGGGGCAGGCAAGGGAGAAACCCTCTTTATCTAAGCACATGTAGTCTGAATGAACATTATATCATTTTCAGATCAGTGACATTTGACAAGCATTCAGTCTAACTCAGTGACAATTTTCATTGATGTGATTAAGTAACTATTTGGATGTAGCTGACATTTGAATTTTCACCCTAGGCTCTTTAAATACTCACTTTTGTAGTATGCTTTAATAATGCATAGCAATGATCTTATTTACTTTCTGCTACTTCACATTGCATATTTGAACTTCCTTGGAAACAATTTCCCACCTTGTCATATGCAATTGATGAGAGTGGTGTACTGAATTTTATTATGAGAATTGTAATCATGTCAACCAATCTTGTATTATATCTGTAAAGTCTAGGTTTTTATCCAGAGTGTATTTGAACCCTACATTTGTATAAGAATCTTTAAAATAATGGTGAAACACATTCCATGACTTCAAAAAGGCACTGGGATATGTTACATTTATCTATATTAAAAATGGTATGGGGGGGCATGTCTGAATTTCTCCGACTTCACAAGCTGGTAAGAAAATCATACTCCACATCAGTCTGTGGCTGATTACTATGAGGCAGGGGTCAGACATACCTCTCCCCTCCAATTTTCCTTAGCAACCTGACACCAACTGTACATCCCACAGCACTCTGTCCTTCTCATCTGGATTCCATAATCCATTTCAGTAGCTACACAGTAGTTACAGATGATACGTAGAGATTTCTTCATGAGGTTAACAAATTATAAATTGAGTCATAAATATTCTGGATACAGTTCTTTGGTCAGAACAGCCACTGTTATGCCCTAGACCCCTTGGCTCAGTCTCTACCCTACTTAGGCAATGTTAGAAAGCCCATTTAATGCTGCCTATAAATGTCCAATGGGCTTGCCACTGAGCCATAAGCTTTCTACTGAAGTCATTCAGATCTAGATCCATAGGTGAGTAAAATCTTTCTCCCCCAATTAAAGTGCTGGAAGCACTCAACAAGTGTTCCTTTTGCCCCATGGGCTGGGAGATCCATTGCTCTGTGTCATGCTTGTGGTTATGTTCCTGACACTTTTCTGCCACATCTCTGGTGTCACAGCTTGCTGTCTTTGGATCTAGGATGTTCAATGTGCAGGGATCTTAGTTCTAACAATGGGCTTCATTTGGGGCTCTTCTTTCTTGGTGATAGTGAGATAACCCCTCCCTGTTTCTGAGATGGTTCATTTTATACCCAGGAGGATGACAACATTGACCACCTCCCAACAATTCCATTTTTTCCCTACAAAATATCATATAACCTATCAGAACCCTCCCCCACCTTCCCTTAGTCAGACCAATCAGAAAAGTGACACCCAGTCCTTTGGTGGGAGTTACAAAGACAATGGAAAGAAGAGCTCACTACATGCAGTGCCTCACTACATCTATCAATCTATCAATCTATCTATCTATCTATCTATCTATCTATCTATCTATCTATCTATCTATCATCTACCTATCCATCTATCTATCATCTAGGGGCTTTGAAAAGTTCATCTAAAAATGGAATTAAAGGATAATAGAATTTCCCCACAAACTTCCTGAAGCCCCTCATATGTGTATACTTTTTATGGGGATATATCAGGGTAGAAGGTGAAAATAAAAATAGAATTGGTCAAGGAATGACTAATCGTTATCATAACCCAGCATCTGGAGGGCTAAATCCCAGCTTTGGTGACAGAGAGTGTATGCTTTGGGCTTCTAACCACAAGATCAACAGTTCAAAATCACCGACTGTTCTGTGGGAGAAAGCAGACGTTTTGTACTCTCATAAAGGGTTACAGTCTTGTAACACGACGGGGGCCATTCTACCCTGCTATATAGGGTCACTATGAGTTGGAATTGACTCCATGGCACTGAGTGAGAGAAAAGGACATTGTGCTTGGTAAAGGAGAAGGTCAGCAAAAAATAAGGAAGGCCTTCAACAGGCTACATTGGCACGATGGCTGCAATGCTGGGTTCTGACATAACAAGAACTGTGAGGCTGGCACAGCCCTGGGCAGTGCTTTGCTCTGTTGTACATTAGACCTCTATGGGTAGTAATCAATTTGATGGCACCTGGTAACAACACCAACAGCATTGAAAATGTCAGTGTCTCATAGTAGAACTGGTCTACTAAGAGTTATATCTAAGGGGCAGTTTGTCGACAAGTTCCCAAATCAAGAAAATCATTTCCTTTGATAGCAGCAGGAATGCCTCCAGAAGGGGACAGTTTTCCAACAGGGGAGGGAAATTTTTGTGTAAAGAAATGAGAGAATGGAAATGTGAACAGCACTTCCATCATACCAGGGCTCTGCTCTTTGTACCTGCAAAAAGTCAGACAGTTGGAAGCTGTGGATACATTTGTAACTTGAGCTGGTGAATAGACAAGCAGAGCTACATGGTAGGGCCAGCCCCTACTTCTCAGGATTCTGTACTTTCTTATGTTTGCTTGGTAGAATCACAGCCAACTTTATTACAAAAGACTTTGCTCTCAGCAAATATTGTAATAAAGGTATTGCTTCACATAGAAGTACTTCCTTCTCAATAAGTGGTTTTCCAAAATAAATTATTGAGAGAAGGGATAACTCCATGCTAAACCAGCCAGCAGGGAGAATGCAAATCAGGATATAAAAGTGAATGGAGCTTTAGAGAGCTGAGCTATGTGCAGCATTCAAGGAGTGCAGCAGGATACACGTCAGGAAAGGGAAATGATGCTGAGGGTCAATTTGAGGATACAGCTTACAACTAAGAAATTTGCTGTTACTGACAGTGCCCTCATGTTCATAGAATAGAACTGTCCCACAGAGCTATCTGTATTTTCTTTCTTTGCTTTCCTTCTTTCTCTCTTATGAGCAACACATGAGGACCCCCAGAGGCAGCTCTACCCTGTCCTATAAGGTCGCTATGAGATGGAATTGACTCAATTACAGTGAGTTTATTTAGATGATCAACACATATTTTGAAGACCCCAAAATATGGAAGACTTCACAAAATTGCATGCTATCTTTGCACAGGGACAATACTAACCTTCTCTATATGCTTCTAAGTTTCCTATATATGTTGCCGAAGTGAGTACCCATAGGGCTTTCTTTTAATCTTTATGGAGACGGATTTCTAAATCTTAACCTCACAGAGCCACTGACCTAACAGACTGCACTGCCCAAACTCAAGGAATATGCAAAGGGATAGGTCAAACAGAGGGAGACCTGAAGAAGGAAGGAGATCTGGAAACAAAAAATACCCTTTTGAAAGGACACATCCTGTCTTGTTTAAAACAATCCTACTACAATGTTTGTATTAATACTAGTAGTTAAGTATTGGTTCTGGGAATATTATACTCTAAATAAGCTCTTCTTTTTTTATATCCAGGAGTAAAATCTGCGGGTCTTGAAGGATTTTGTATTTTTATAAACGATAAATTTTAAAGGTACAAACTTCAACAGTGGCTCACAATAATGAAAGCCATCTCCAATATTTTGTGTAACCATCTCCAATTACTTTAACCACTAGTGAGAGGTTACTGGAAGTTTGGTTTGTTGCTGTTTAATAGAAGCCATCTTAGTATGGGTGAAGTAGTATCTCTTTGTGGTATTAACTTGCATTCCCTAATAACTAATGATGTTGGGTATCTTTCCATGTACTGCTTGGTCATTTGTACTCATATATCTTCTTTGGAGAAATGCACATTCACATCTTTTTCCCGTTTTATTTTTTGCCTTCCACTTAACATATATAGTTATATGTTTTGTTAGTGATGTATACTCCTGAACCCTCCCAGCCCTAGTAACCTTAAAATAATATTTGTTTTAGTGTAAAAATCTTTTCTGGATTTTTTATAATAGTGGACTCATACAATATTTGTCTTATCTCATTGACTTATTTTACTCAGCATTATGTCCTTCAGGTTCATCTGTGTTCCAGACTCATCTTTGTTCTTTATCTTTGCATAACATTCCATTGTGAATATGTACCAAAAGATCAGAGGAAGTTTATGTACCATAGGATCAGAGGAAAGTTTATTAACAACTTGAAATATGTAGATAACAAAATATTGCTTACTAAAAGCCAGGCAGACTTAAAGCACTTGTTGATGAAGATGAAAGATGGCAGCTTTTTTATGGATTACAAATCAATTACAACTGGACAAATAGACAACATCATAATAAACACAAAAAAGATTGAACTTGTCAAGGATTTACTTTTGCTTGGATCCACAATCAACACCCATGGAAACCACAGTCAAGAAACCAAAGGACGTATGATATTAGACAAATCTACTGTAATAGATATCTTTAAAGTGTTGAAGAGCAAATACATTACTTTGAAAACTTAAGTGTGTCTGACTCAAGCCACAGTATTTTCGTAGATCACTCCATAGGCACGTGAAATTTGGACAATGAATAAGAGACTGTGAAATAATCGATGCATTTGAATGGTAGTACTGGTAAGGAATATTGAAAGTACTGTGGAATGTCAAAAACACAAAGAAATCTATCTTGGAAAAAGTACAACCAGAATGTTTCTTATAAGAGATGATGGTGAACTTTGTCTCATGTTCTTTGGATATGTCATCAGGAAAGACAAATCCCTGGAAAGGACGTCATGCTTGGTAAAATGATCATGGAGATTTCTTCAAATGTTTGCTGGGTGCCTGAATATGATCTTTGATGAAATGTCTGTTCATATCTTCTGCTTTCTTTTAATTGGATCATTTTTCTTTTTCTTGTTGAAGTGCTAATGTGTTCAAGTTTTCTATAAATTAAGAAATATGTTGTTATATTGTTGGAAAAAATATTTTTTTACCCTTCTTTGTATTCTGTTTTTCACTCTTTTGATGAAATAGCTCGATGCACATCAATATGTAATTTTAAGAGGCCCCAGTCATCTAGTATGCCTATTCCTGTTGTGTATTTTCAACTACATTTGATTACATATTGAGGGCTTATTTATGTCCCTAAATTTGTCCTAATTTTAGTTCCCAGTATTTGTAGCTTTAGATTTTGGTCTGTAATCCATCTTGAGTTGATATGGGCACGTTATGGGTCCTGTTTTACCTTCCTATTTCACCTTCCTGCAAGATATCCGTACTTTCCAGAACTATTTATTAAAGAGAATGTCTTCCTCCTTTAATGCTTTTGACTTATTAACGAAGATCAGCTATCCATAGGTGGATGAATGTACTTCTAGGATCTCAATCCTGTTACATTGGTCATTGTAAAATTATTCTGCTATTTTAAGTCTTGGGGGTCTGGAACCAAGAAGTTGGAGAGACTGCCAACTTATTTCTTCTTAAGTAGCCCTTTGCTTAACCAAGGTCTCTTTCCATCCCACATACAGATTGTGATTAGATTTTCCATCTCTTTAGAAATTATCTTGGAATCTGTTGCACTATACTTTTAGATTGCTTTGGGTAGTCTTCTTATTTTCACAATGCTAACTCTTCCTGTGATATTATTCCCTTTATGTAGTTCTTTTTTTTATTTCTGGGAGGAGTGATTTGTCGATTTCTTTGTAAAAGATTTTGTTTCTCTGGTTAGGTTTATTCCAAATTATTTAATATAATATGGAGTCCTGGTAGTGTAGTGGGTTACAATTTGGACTGCTTATTACAATATCAGCAGTTTGAATCTACCAGACGCTCCTCAGGAGAAAGATGAGGATATTTGCTTCCATAAAAATGTATTGCTCCAGCAACGCAAAGGGTCAATTAGTACTGTGTCCTGTAAAGTCAATCTGACGCAAAATTGACTAGATGGATAGGGGTTTGGATAGTGTGGGATTTCATCTTCTGCGTGGTCATCGTAAGTGATATTGCTTTCCTGGAATAGAAAAGGAATAGAGTTGATTTTCATACCGTTGATCATGTACACTTGTATGCTGAGCTTGACATTTTGCGCAATCTTCCAATTACCATAGTTCCAGTAATTTTCTTGCTGCGTTTTTGGGTTTTCTATGTATAGTATCTATCATTTATATATAGTTTTACTTTTTCTTTGCCAATTTGAATTCCTGTAATTTGTCCTTTCTTGCTTATCGTTCTGGCTAAAAATTCCAGCACAATACAGAAGAGAGTGATGATAAGAGGCCGCCATCCATGTCTGTTTCCCATTCATAAATGGAATGCGTTCAGTTTTTCCCCATAGAGACTTATGTTGGCCATTGGTTTTATATACATACCCTTAATTTTGTTTAGTAATTTCCCTTCTAATAATAACTTTAGTGTTTTTATCAAGAAAGAGTGTTTGATTTTGTCCCATGTCCCTTCTGTGTCAAAATATATAATCATGTGCTTCTTTGGTTTTATATGGTGAGTTATGCTGTCTAATATTAACACATCTAGTATGAATCCCACTGTTCATGGTACTTCTTTTTTATTTATTTTGATTATTGTTTTTTGATATGCTGTTGGTTTCTATAGGTGAAGATTTTATTGAGAAGTCTATGACTCTCTTTAGGGAGCCGTCCTTTTTTTTGTTAGACATACCTTTGGCTGGTTGTGGTATCATAAAATAGGCTTGGGGTGTTTCATCCTTTTCTGTACTATGGAATAGTTTGAGTGGAAATAGCGATTGGTGTCAATTCCCTCTGAATATTTGGTCGACGTCTCCGACGAAACCATCTGGGTCATGACTTAATTTATGTGTAGTGAGTTTTTCAAGGATCTGATTTATTTCTCTAACTTTATGGATCAGTTTACATTTTCTATCTCAGTCTGCATTATTGTATGTAGTCAGTGGATTTCTAGAAATATATCCATTTCTTCAAGGTTTTCAAATTTGTTGGAGTACAGTTAATAATATTCCGTTTTTCAGTTTGAATTAAAGCAATTCAACACATTGTTCCAGGGAAGGGTTTTGTTTGTTTTTAACAACTTGCTTGTATTCGAGATTAATATTTTAGAGAGGTAGTGACAAGTATAAATTGTCATGAGAACACAGAGTATCAGGAAAACCCAGGTTTAGTGGGTTAACTGGGTTCCACATATCTATCCAGCAAAGCCAAGGGAGAGATCTTTGGCTTTAAGTAATTTTAAAGATAGGATTTATGGATGTGTTTGTAGACTTGGTAGACCCTTGATGATGTTCTGTTACCAATTACTAATATCTTAGAAGGTTGGAACAAAGTTTCTATTGGTTCCATTTGGTTAAGTATTCTTATTTTGATTTATATTTCTATTCTTTAATTAGTCTTGGATATTAAGGTAGTTAAGTTACTCTGTACTTAGTTGTGCTAATTCTTGTTATCCAACATTTTCAATAAAATATAATTCTGTTATTTTTTAATTCAACGTATATAGTTTAGCAGAACCCATTTTTGGTTTCTAGTTCTCTTATAATTATAAGTAACAGTACCTGCCAATTTCAAAACTCCATCTATGTGCTTTTTCCTGATTAGGCATAGAAGACTTAGTATATTTTATTATAAATAAATAGTCATTAATTTTATCTGGTATTCTTTCTAACTCATTTATTTCTGCCTTTATATTTTCTTCTATTTCCTACTTTCTTTATAGCATCTTTTTTAACTTTCTGTAACATTTTTAGTTGAAAGCTTTAATTAATTTATTTTATCTTTGCCTTTTTATAAAGATAAAAGCAGACAAAAATTGAACTTCTGGGTAGAACTGAGACCATTTTTCATGGGGTTTCTTATGAGATATTTTTCTTAAACAAATGATGTTTATGTATACAGTTGATTTCTTCTTTAACATGTTTTAAAGTAATTGAAATTATTTTTAAAACTATACAATTAGTTTGCAGTACTATTGCATTATTATCAAATAATATACATTTTAAACATTCCTATCGTGGGTTAATATTTTCACCAAATCTTTATATATATATTTTTCTACATACAGCAGGAGCCTTTATATACTAGTATTCTCTGAGGATTTTGTTTAACAGAAGAGAAATAAGAAATAACTCTTAGCCTGTCTTCCTTTTCTGTCTCTGCTTTTCCCCAGAAACATGGGAAGGAGTATGATGTTAGTGTGATCCAAAAGTAGCTAGAAACAACTTCTTTTCCCTGTCATCACTCAAAAAATCTGACTAAAGGTCATGCACTGTGAAACTGGGT